CCAAAGCCAACACAAACTCTACCCGTTGTTTTGTTGCATAATGGCACTTGTAACACTCACTCTGGAATGAGCAGCCACCCCATACTGGTGCATTCTGTACTTCGGCCACGGTGCAGACGGTTCAGAAGAAGACCCTACCACTAAACAGCAGTGAAAGTGAAAGCTGTTAACCGGCCCTGATACTAACTGTGCCCACTGTCTTCCTATCTGTCCATCCCTGCGCATGTCGTCATTCTGCCCACGTAGCCAGAGGGCAAACATGCCAGACAGTGTCACCCACAGCTCTCAGCCCTTACCAAGGGAAGGGGGTATCACTGCTTCCACTGCCAGGTCCAAAATCACAAGCTGCCAAGGCTCTCATGTTTGGGGGACATCATAGTAGTATGTATCTCTCACACTGAGAGTATGAGTGAGACAGGAAAAGAAGCCCAGAGACAGAGACAGAAGAGGCAGAAAAAGAGCCCCACACCCAACCCCCCCACCCCCAAAGAAAAGAAGAAAAGAAAGAGACCAAATCGGGAGACATATTTCTCGTGTCTTGCAGAGAAAGGAGAGGAACCTCCTTTTGCTACAGGCAGCTTTCGGGATGAGTGAATCATGCTTTGTACACGCACCCCGACAATTTCCAGCCCACTGGTTTCACAGCAATGACTGACCATTCTGTGAATTTCAGAGAACAATTCATTGTCCTTGAGACCACCTACAACTTGCATGCATGTGACATCATTCTAAGTTACACCAACTCAGCATTTCCATAAAATTTCTGTACATAAAAGTCATAGGGTATTGTAATGTATTTGAGCAAGTCAGAAATACCTTGTGCTTAAAAGTGTTAGTTTTATAATAATTGATGAGTGTCTTTTTTTATGTGTGAAAGTTACCTTTTATCTAAAGGGGGTTAAAACTGGAAAAAAAATAGGATGTTTCACAAAACTAGATTGTGCAGCCAGGCCAGTACCTGCATTGTTAGTGACTGTGCCTAATCTTTGTTACTGAAAGTACCTACTGGGGGAGAAGGTGGCATGAAAATGGATGTTGAGATGATTGTCCTTCTTCAACTAAATTTTAAACACAAATGGTTTTGATTCTCTCCCAATCCTTCATTTTTGTAGTGGAACCAGCACAGATAAGTAAAAGATGCCAAAAAGAAAATACCTGTTAAAAAGTTTAAACGAATAAAACCTTAATCAGAGCCAAAATTATTAATGCAAAATCTGTTGAATGCAGAGTGACTAGCCAACGCAAACGCCATCAGTATGAACTGATTTCCTTAATTAAATTTCCTATTTTAAGACATACAGATAAATTCACCGTTCAAGAAGATTTGGAATAAGAGGGAAAAAAATGATGAAGTGAGCCCTAGCGGGTTCATGTAGTGGTTAGAGCATCCGCCTGTGGACTGAAGAGTTGAGGGTTCAATTCTGGTCAAGAGCAGGTTCCTCGGTTACAGGCTTGGTCACTGGCCAGGAGTGATGTGTGATCACCAATTGATGTGTTTCTCTAACATTGATGTTTCTGTCTCTGTCTCTCCCCCTCCCTTCCACTCCCTCTAAAAATCAATGGAAAAAAATATCCTTGGGTGAGGATTAACAAAACAAAACAAAAAAAGGTGAAGTGATAAGGGCAGAATGAGTTTCAACAGACCAGGGCTCTGGCTTCAGCTGTTAGTATTAAATAAGTTGATTAAATTAATTAATTCACATTAATTCTCTTGTGTATAAAAATGAAAGTGATAAATTAGCTGATCTTTAAAATTTCTGAAAAGACGGTAGGTGGTGAAGTGGACTACAGAAAGGGAGCATTTTCTAATTTTCCAAAAGGTCTTATAGAAAAAAGTAAGGTAAGGTCATGTTAACCTAGCAAGATTCACTCAAAATAGTACTATTGTAAGTATTATTTGAATTTAAAATTTTCGCCCATGACATGCCCTCACAGAAGGCTCTGAGTAATGTATTTCAGAAGTCTAACTTGGGTGGACTTGCTCTCAAACAGTGCAGCCTTTGTTACAACGGGCCCCTTAATGACATTCTGGGTTGATGCTTGGAAGACCCACAGTGTGTGGGGGGGAACCCTGGCACTACCCCACTGACGGATGCAAGAAGGATCCCACTTAGTCTCCCTTATGCAATGTTCAAATCCTGGACAGAGCAATGCAAGTGTGGAATTGATCAGGAGCCGTGATTTATACAGAAAAAGAACAGTATCTTGAAAGACAAAGCACCTTTTTAAAATAATTTTTGTCACTACTGTGAATTAAAATAGAAAATGGACCAGCTTATAACTCTTCTAAATTTTAGGGTTTGCACTGTTTTGTAAAACTGGTTTCAATTTACTTTTACCAAACTAGAAAAAGTTACCACGTAAGTCCCTAGGAAAAATCTTAACTTTTATTATGCCAAGAAAATAATACCAACAAGTACAGATATAAATGAAATAATAGGTAACAGAAACATGAAATGGAAATTAAGAAAGTAGTGAGATGTTTTTTGATACTGAATAATATTGAAGGTTTAGGTACAAAATCAAATTTATATTTTAAAAAATGATTTTTAACTATTGTATGTAACTCTCAAATCAATGTTTTTAGCCCTAGACCCTCCCTAACAATTACACTTGCAACTGCCTGATGGACATTTCTATGTAAATGTCACATATTTACCTCAAAGTTCCTTCTCCCCAAAGATAAGTTCTCTTTTCTCCTAAATGCCCTTTATGGCAGCGGTTCTCAACCTGTGGGTCACGACCCCTTTGGGGGTCGAACGACCCTTTCACAGGGGTCGCCTAAGACCATCGGAAAACACATATATAATTACATATTGCTTTTGTGATTATTCACTATGCTTTAATTATGTTCAACTTGTAACAATGGAAATACATCCTGCACATCAGATATTTACATTACGATTCCTAACACTACCAAAATTATAGTTATGAAGTAGCAACGAAAATAATTTTATGGTTGGGGGTCACCACAACATGAGGAACTGTATTAAAGGGTCGCAGCATTAGGAAGATTGAGAACCACTGCTTTATGGCATCATCGTGCTCTCAATCACTCAAGTCAGAGACCTGAGAATTTCAAGTCCTAACACTTTTTTACTTCCAGTGCCCCAACTATCACCAAACCCAGCACATTCTAGCTCGTTCACATTTCTCTCTGTCTCTGTTCCTCACTGTTTCTACCCTAATTCTAGCCCTCCCATCTTTTCCCCCAAATCATTACAAAACAAATCTTCCTCGCTTCAATCCTACTCACCCCCAGCTCTTTCTCTACACCCTCTCCAGGTTAACACACACCTAAAATGCTAATGATTGCCAGCTTAAAACTCCTCAGTGCTTACACACACACACACACACACACACACACACACACACACACACACAGAACAACTTATTATTTCCACATATGGGTTTCACACCCCTATCCCACTGTTCTTGTCTGCAATACCCTCCCCTCCCTGCTCTTTAGCTGGCTCACTCCTATTTACCTCTCAAGGGCCATTTCAGGGTCACCTTGTCCAGGCAGACTGCTTAACACACACAAACCTCCGATAGCAGGCTGTGTTTGATGCCTTTTTCATTCCTTAATGCACTCTCAGTATACTTTTATCATATTGGAGTTGAGCATATTGATTTATTTGCTTGTCTCTTGAAATTTGACAGATATTCCTGAAAGGTAAGTGCTTATCACCTTTGCTTCTCGAAAACCTAGCAAAGTTTATTGAATCAAATTAAAAATGAATCAAACTATGGAAGGAAATAGATGGGAGGATATGTAGAGCGTTATAAATGTTTAGAAATAGTCATTGTTTTCCTTACTTATGCAAATATAATTTCATGGCTTTGCAAAGTGCTTTCATATAATTTATATTGTTTGATCCTTGAAACAATCCTTAGAAGGCAGGGTAAGGTAGATATGAAGGCTCATACAGTAGCTCCCCCACCTCTCATGGTTTTGCTTCCCACAGTTTCAGTTACCCAGGGTCAGTCATGGTCCAAAAATATTAAATAAATAATTCCAGAACTAGACCACTGATAAGTTTTAAATCTCACGCCATCCCCATCCATCTCTCTGGGCATGTGAATCATCCCTTTGCCCAGCATGTCCATGCCCGCTAGTCATTTGGTCTTCTTCATGGTTATCAGATCAACTATCATGGTAACTCGGTGCTTGTGTTCCAGTGACCCCCCCCTTTTTTCTTTTAAGAATAGTTTAATGATTTTTAGAGAGCAAGGAAGGGAGAGGGAGAGAGAAAACATCAATGGGCTGCCTCCTGCATGCTCCCTATGGGGGATGGAGCCTGCTACCCAGGCATGTGCCCTTGACAGGGAATGAATCAACAACCTCCCTGGGCACAGGACAAGGCCCAACCAACTGAGCCATACAGGTCAGGGCCAGTAACCCTTATTTTACTTAATAATGACCCCAATGTGTAAGAGTGGTGATGCTGGCAACTCGGATATGCCAAAGAGAAGTCATAAAGCCCTTCCATTAAGTTCGTATGTATAGGAAAAAACATAGTAAGTACGGGGTTTGGTACTGTCTGCAGTTTCAGAGATCTGCTGGGAGTCTTGGAATATTTCTCCTATGGATAAGGGGGCACTACTATATATAAGACATTTCTCTGAGAAGGAAATGTTATTGATTTTTTTTAAAGTAGGTGTGTGTGTGTGTGTGTGTGTGTGTGTGTGAGAGAGAGAGAGAGAGAGAGAGAGAGAGAGGTATTGAGAGAGAACGAGAGAGAGAGAGAGAGAGAGAGAGAAGTCTTCTTAGGTCAGAACTGCAATGTCAAATAAATTCCTGTTTGGTCAAAATAGCCAATTGATTTTCTTTATAACTTCTAAAACAGTCTCCTAAAAAAAGAAAAACTCTCGATTCTGGATAGAGAATTTTCAACACCCTAAGCCTCTATCCACTCTTTTTTTAAGAGGTATATTTCAGAATACAGTACAACTCATTTAGATTTCTAAATACAAAACGAGAACTGACGGGCCCTCACCTTTGGAAGATCTGCTGGGCCAAAGGTTTCCTGAATGTTTCCCTGATTTTTGAAGCTGTCTTTTTCTCAGGATGATGCCAACAGCTCACAGCAGCTTTGGTGAAAGTCTTCAGCAAACAAGGGTGGGGACTGCTGAAGAAGATTATCACAAAGACTCCTGAAAAAGAAAAAAAATCAGAACAGTGAAAAATTGTTTGGGGTTAGTTTATTCTATTGACCTGAGATTTCATTCTATTATCCTACTGCAATTGACAAGGAGAACTTAATACATATTAAACTCCATGATTAAATTTGAACTAAGGTTTACTGTATTTAAGGACCTCAATGATTAAGAAACTTTAAGCAGTTTAACGGCGACAGGTAATGAAATAAAGGTAACATAATTCCAATTACATTTTGGTCTGAATGATCCCTAAATAGCAGGAAACACGCTATGCACAAATCAAAAAGGAGAAAGGAGCCCTTGATCTTAGTCTACTCTCATACTTCATGGGAATACACCATGCTTTATAATCACACCAACACACAGGCCACGGCTGGGAAGAATCTAATACAGACTTAAAAGAACAAACAATGAAGAACTAAGTATCTGATCAAGGTTGACGATGTCAGAGAGGAACTCAGCAATGCAATTACGTTTTACAGGTGGCTTAGAAGGCAGTGGGGGAAGGAGGCATCTGGGAATAAGGGAAAGAAGCATGAGGTTAGAGTAGAACTACACAGAGTGAAACCTTAATTAAACAGAAGTGCCTGAGTAGAGTGTTTGTTTAATACCTCCCTTTAATGAAAAAGGGTGAGAGTCACAGAAAGGATTGTTTAGAAAGTCTCTTTGAAACCAGAACTTGGGGTTAGTCTGTGGTGGGAAGAGCAGAAGACAGGAGATCCGGACCTGCCTCCACTGCTCACAGCCTCACCCAGTCTTGCCAAGTGCTTGATGTTGTGGCCACATTCGCACCACAGGGAGAGCTTTCAAAAAGTATTAATGGCTTGGCCCCCACACAGGCAAAGTAAATCCTTGGCAAATAAATCAGAATTTCAGGTGGGATGGAGCCCAAGTATAGTTTTTTGTCATTTTTTTTAAATAGAGAAAGTCAGAGATGTTCTTTGATCTAGCTCTAACATAGTCTTTTCCACATATTTTGCACGTCATAACTCGTTTGTTTTAAAAACAAATTCAATTTAAAGTAATAGTATCCAAAATTTAAAAACCCAGTCCTAGCCAGTTTTTCTCAGTGGTTCGAGCATTGGCCAGTGGACAAAGGGTTGTGGGTTCAATTCCAATCAAGTGCATATACCTCGGTTGTAGGCTTGACCCCTAGCCTCGGGCCATGTGCGGGAGGCAACCAATTGATGAGTCTCTCACACATTGATGTTTCTCTCTTTGTGTGTCTCTCCCTCTCCTTTCCATTGTCTCTAGAAATCAATAGAATCAGGTGAGGATTAATAACACAACAAAAATTTTAAAATCCCAGTAAAATTAAATAGTTCCCCAATTTTCAAGAGGCAGTGACAGGCTCTGAGATGTACAGTGACTTATGCAAGGTCTGAGCAACCTCCAGGACAGAATCAAGTCTTCTGGGGAGGATAAAGTGGGATCGTGAACTGGGCTGGACATAACTCTATTTCAGCCTAGAGTGGGCATGATCAGAAGAGGTGGAGCCACACTGATGACTAGGTTCGGATGCTATGGCTGTGTGAGCAGAAGGGAGCCTAGCCTCAGGGTGGCTGCCCCTTAAGGAATAATAAGGATAAAAATAATCCTGGTAGCTAAATTATTGAGCACTTCAGATGAGCTAGAGACTGTGCTAAGAAAGAAGGGCTTTAATCCTCACAAGAACTCTCTGCCCTAAGTACTATTATTATCTCCAATTTATAAAAGAGAAGCTGAAGCCAAGAGAGCTTAGTCCTATCTCCAAAATAGTGGAACTAGAATTATAAAGAGCTGGTCTCTCTCCTAACCATAAATTGCCTTGAGGGAATGCAGTTAACAGGCAGCTAGAGGCAAGCTACTCCGCCCTTGTAGGCGCTTTGTCTTCTTTTGTCACAATGCATTTTCTCACATTGGAAAGTGGAAACAGAAGCATCCAGGAGTCTTCCCAGTGCGTTCAGATTTCCTCAGATTAAAGAACTAATGTGTTTGGGAAAGGATTAACATCTCTCTCTTCTACACACACACACACACACACACACACACACACACACACACTTCCAAATTGATAAAGTTTGAATGCTGAGATTTCATTATGCTATTTTGGAGAAATCAGCTCAGGCAACTATCAGAAGAGTCATCACTGAAATCTGTCCTAAATGACTCAGTCCATCGTGACATAGGAGTGTAAAAGCTGAGCTAAAATCTCTGGAACATCATTTATAATTCATTTGGAAAAAACTCACCAAACTTTCCTACACTCATCTAAATCATCTTAGAGAAGTATCTTTGTTGCAGTATGCTGTCTCATTATATTTACATTATGTAAATCACTTCCTTTCTTTAGAGTATTGTTATTAGCCTTAGTTGGTTAGGGCACCATCCCGAAATCCCAAGGTTATGGGTTCAATCCCTGGTCAGGCAACATACAAGAATAAACCAATGAATGCAAAAATAAATGGAACAACAAATTGATGTTTCTCTCTTTCTCTCTTCATCTCTCTCTCTCTCTCTCTCTCTCTCTCTCTCTCTCTCTCATCAATAAATAAAAATGAATGTTTTATTTTCACCCCATCCCATTAATATGTTACCTTTATCGAATGGAGTTCATTATTCCAACCTGCTCAAAACTCTGGCTTCTCAATTCTGTCCTTCCAAATATTTTTTATGCCTCTCACCTTCATGTTACCTACAAATTAGGTAAGCATGCCATCTAGAATAATGTTCATGCTATCATAAAAATTGGATACTATTTCACAGAGCGAATAGTGGCATAAAAATAATGAAAACTGTCTGGCCGGTGTGTCTCAGTTGATTGGGTGTCATCCTGTGCACAGGGAGTTTGCTGGTTCCATTCCCAGTCAAGGACACACGCCCAGGTTGCGGGCTGGATCCCCAATTAATGTTGCACTCTCACATCAATGTTTCTCTCTCTCTCCCTCGCCCTTCCTCTCGAAAAATCAATAAACTATTATTTTTTTAAAAAGAAAACCTAATAGTCAATAAATTAAAATAAGTTTATTTTAGTGCCAAAGTCATTACTTAAAATTAATAATTATCAATTCTCCAAATAGACTGCAAACCATCCTGAAGATATAAATAGCTACATAAACTGACATGTCCAAACAATTCCTTTGCTGAATCGAGGTTTTACTATTTATTTGATAGAGATTGCAAAACCCAGGAGAATTAGGTTCCAGCATCATTAGAAAAAATTAGGCCATAGTTGAGATAATTGGCAACATGAACTTTGTAGTTAGAGTAATTACCTGTGCAGCAGACCAAGAAGTTATGTTTGAGAAGCATATTCCAAAAACAGAGCCAAGTTAGCTTCATCCTTCCCTGAGGCAATCATGGAAATTAGCAAAATCTGTCATTTTAGGTCATCTGGTACACTCCTGCCAAAGTGAAATTGTTTCCCAAAGATCTCAACTGCTTTGTCTAATTTACCTTTCAATTAGCCTCGGATGTCTTCTTATAGCTAAAAGCCCCACACTGAAGAGGTTTTTAAGTTCTCGTGTGTGCTTTTTTAGTTTTTCTCTGTCATCACTGTCAGGGTGTCAAACTCCAATTTCTCATGGTGGTCAGTGAGCCTGCCTGGAGTAACCAAACCTTCTTCACTATTCTAATTGGATACTTGTGGTCCTCCTAGGACAGTGATGGCGAACCTTTTGAGCTCAGCGTGTCAGCATTTTGAAAAACCCTAACTTAACTCTGGTGCCGTGTCACATATAGAAATTTTTTGATATTTGCAACCATAGTAAAACAAAGACTT